AGACAGACAGACAGACAGACAGACAGACAGACAGACAGACAGACAGAGAGAGAGAGAGAGAGATAGATAGATAGATAGATAGTTAGATAGATAGATAGATAGATAGATAGATAGAGAGAGAGAGATAGAGATAGAGATAGAGATAGACATAGAGAGGTGGATTTTGATATAGATAGATAGATAGATGGACAGACAGATAGGTAGATAGATGGATGGATGGATAGATAGGTAGTAGTAGTAGTAGTAGCAGTAGCAGTAGTAGTAGTAGTAGTAGTAGTAGTAGTGGTAGTAGTAGTAGTAGTAGACAGTAGTAGTAGCAGTCGTCGTCGTCGTCGTCGTCGTCGTCGTAGTGGTAGTCGTAGTCGTAGTCGTAGTAGCAGTAGTAGTAGTAGTAGTTTTTGTAGTAGCAGCTTTTATAGTAGTAGTTTTTATAGTAGTAGTTTTTATAGTAGTAGTAGTAGTAGTAGTAGTAATAGTAATAGTAATAGTAGTAGTAGTAGTAGTAGTAGGTAGCGGTAGGTAGCAGTAAGTAGCAGTACGTAGGGGATGTCTTTGTTTTTGTTTAAAGACCTGGACCAGCGCATTGTCTATGAGAAGGGGTCATCACTAATTGGTTTTGTTGAAAGCTCAGTGTGTTTCGTCAGCCACGTTTCATGCTGTCATCGGCTCCAGCAGCAGAATTTTTTGAACATGAAACTGTACTCTTGGCTTGACCTGTGACATACCATGCTGTATGCATCTCTTGCAGAAAAGTGTAAATGTTGTGTACCTCAGGGCACTAAACAGAAACAACCCTTTTGTTGCTAGCAACATCAAGGTCTGCAAGTGCCCTGATTGACTTGCAATATTCTGAGCAGAATGAACATAACATGCAGACCTTGGGCAAGGCTAGCTGACAGCCGGGATCATTTTTCTAAATTATTGTGTTTATTCTTCCGCCCATCCTTTGTGCCCAGGTGTTGTCGTGCTTTTGCGAAGGCAGTCCAGCTGGAACCCAAGGTCAGCGTTTAAGCAAATGATGAGACAGTTTGCTTAAAAACCAACGTGTTGTTTTAAATGAGGCCAGGAGCCCTAACAATGGATTCGCGCTGCTTTTGCCTGAGAAAAGGGTATTGTTGAGTTGACACGATGTCTAAGTTGAATGCCTGACTTTGATCTGTGGGAGTTTAGCTAAACGCAAAAGGATGGGAGGCATTGCTGAACAGAGGATGCTGACTAGATGACAATTGGTGTTACGCTCGGCAGTTTCTGGATGACGATTTCTTTTGCGCAGAACATCTACCCACACCCTTGTTTTTCAGGTCCTTGCATGCTTTGAGAGCTTCCAGGTCCCTGCACTTCCCGCCCAACCTCGTACCTTGCTACGATACGCCCCAGCAAAAGAACTCAGTGGCAGCCTCTGGTTAGTCTCAATTTCATTTCCTCTGAAGACAGTTTTGTGACTCGTGACATCCTAAAATGTGCTCAAACGTTGTTTGAACCACCTACCGCGCCGAGCTCTCAACTTTAAAGGACTGAGGGTGAACTGGATTGGTACTTTCGAGCCAGACATCATACCAACTGCAATATTGTGTGTGAGCAACTTCGTGGCTCATCTCCAGCCAGTCGACTGCGCCGAGCTTGACAAAGTCCCCAGCAAAGCTGAGGAAGCATTCCCAACCAGAAAAACCAGGTATGCCATATACAAGAGTTCTTCTGCTGGTACAGTGTAAGTTATTTGGATCATTTTCATGGTCTCTGTTGCGAGCAAATGGCATTGTCCCACCTGCCGTTGGGACACTACAGGAAAATACGATCTTGGAATTGACGCTGCTTGGGCTTTACACCGTAATTTGGCCACATGCAAACAGAAGAAAATGGTGCCCCAAAACTGTGCTGGCCAATGTTTGTTTATGCAAACATTTCATCATATTTCATCTAAGTCCGCTGGAAGCCTCCCAGCTTGTGTTCTCATAAGCAGAAGGGCACTTGCGATGCTGCCCTTGGGAATCCAGGCCACGACGCTTGAAAGTGGTACATCTTGCACATCTTCCTCCAGAGGCTCACCGGTTTTGCAATGTGACCATTGGTAGAGGCTCTATAGAGGTGACATGTTGGAGTTTTTGCACAGCAAAAGTTGCTTATTCGGCCTGTCAAATATTGCCTGTCAAATATGCGGTTTCGGCGTGAGCACTGGCGTCCAATCCTTGGCAGGACTTTGTCGAATGTAAGGAGGGCGCCGCGGCTAGCCATGCTTGGCTTGACCTTCAGAGGGCTGGTGTGCGTGACAGCAAACATGATTCACAGCGTTTTGATTTCATGGAAATTGCGCGTGCTGAGGCTGCTTTCGGCCATTGAGGAACAGCGCCACGTGGCGCCCCTGGATATGATCATGGCCTTGGGCTTGATTCGTGATTCGCTGTGCGTGCACAGCTGGAGGTTCCAATCTCGCTTTGGGTCTTGTATCGCGAATGGGTGGATGATGTCATCGATGGCCAGGCCGGTGGTGTCAAAGCTATCTTTCGCCTGGGTTCCTGGATCTTTCTAAGTTGCAGGTGGAGCAGGTTGATTCGTGGCACCACTTCGTGGTTGCGCGTGCTCTCGGGCCAGGCTTTTAGCATTGCTTGACACAGCTGGTTGAAAGACACTTGCACACTTTGTTTGCCAAGTAAAAGGTTTGAACCTCATTCTGGGCTTTTCTCGACCCTGCCTGTTTATGTTTGTCGCAGATTGATTTACGAGTGTTTTGAGTCGAGGCTAAACCTTTGCAAGACCAAGGAGACTAAACCTCATGAGGCTGCAAGACCAGTTTGGTTTCCAATGCTTGCTTTGACGTGCGATTGCAAGGCTGCAGATCTCGTGGCCTTGTTGGCCGAAGACAACAAACTGGGCCATGGCAATCCAGTCTGCGCCTGAAGAGAAGACGGTGCAGAGTGCTCCGGGAAGCAAACAAGGCCCTTGGATGGCTGCTGCAGTTCTCGGTTTCATTGTTGCAAACCAAGGCCGACTCGTTGGAAGCATGGCTTGATGAGACGCGACTTGACCTTGATTTTTTTTGTGCGACAATTTCTTCTCAACGCGAAAACAGATTGTGGCGCAGGAGGGAAGCTTTCGATTTCCGGTTCCGGAAGGCTTGGTTTTGCCATTGGTTCTACAACAAAGCAGGGTTGGAGCAGTATTGGTCCACCTATGAAAGGCTCATCACCGAAGCTTTGATGGCCTGACGATCGCAGAGGAGCATTGCAAAATTATCGCGAAAGCTACGTGCAGGGCAGACGTGCAGTATAATTTTCAGTATATGACTGGATTCATTTTGTTCTACTTGGTAATCAAGGTGTGGATGACTATGACTATGAAAGTTCTTCACCGGAGTTATCGGTGTAAAATTATCCTAGTTAATACTTAATACACTGAATCTGCTTATGCGGTCGGCGTGTTCTTTTGTGCTTGTCACGAAAGCTAGCGTCAGCTAGCTGGAGTTACTCTTGCTTTAGCAAGTCATTGGCTGGCGGATGGAAGACCTACCCAGTTAATAATTCATGTGTAAACCCTCCCTCGCCAGGCTCAACTCCCCCTTCGACCGAGGCCTTGGAGAGGACAATCTACTATAGGCTATAGGTCATTTGACTGTCGCCTTCGTCGTCGTCTTGGTCGCCGCATCGTCTTCGTCATCGTGTTCCTTGTCCTTATCTTGGGCTGCTCCTCCCCTTGTCGCCTGCGGTTCGCTTGTGTTTCTGTGTGCGTGTCACCTGTGTTTTGCCTGCGTTTAGTTTAGCGTCATTTTTCCATCGATTCGTAGCATACCTCATGACCTGCTTATTCTACAGAAACTTTCTTCTCTACCTGGTACCTGGCTTGTATACACCGAACCACGATTTACACCAACCATAGTTTATACAATTACACCAAACCACGGTTTACACCACACACCCTTTGCAACAAACCCCAGTTTAGACCAAGCAGCGGTTACTCCAAACCACGGTTTACACCAAACCACGATTTACGCCGCACACTGCGGGGCTCAACGCCCCTTACTCGGCACCTCTCGTTTCCAGACCCTGCTAGCTTTCGTCACCACCCCCCAGCCTCAAGCTTACTACCAAGCTTGGCTTGGCACACGGGAACATATACTTGCAGGGTGCACACCTTTGCAGTTTGCTGCTAGTGTTTGAAGGCTGCGGCCAGTAACCAGTATTGTGTTACTTCCAGCAACTCTCCTCACTCTCCAAAAGTTCTTCCAGCCAGCCCCCGACCTCAGCATATTCGCTGTCGAGACTAATAAGCGAAAGGGGAGACACGTCATGACAGAGTTCAACAGGCTGCAAATCGGTGAGCAAGCGCCGCCCGGATTTTGCCAGATAAAGGACGTGCAAAAGATGTGTCAACTCTGATATTCACTCAAAGAAAGCTGCTCAGCTGGTGTAATTTTTCCCGGGTCAGGTGCTTCCTCCTGAGAATTGAGAATCTCCAAAGCTAAAAGGTGGCCATGTGTTGCTTTAGCCAACGCACCTAGTAGTTGCCGTCAAAACCGCTCTTGAGACATGTATTGGTGTGAGTGGACCCACCATTCCTAACTGCAGAACGCCTTCAAGAAACGATTCGTTTTCCCCTTCGTGAAGTTGCAGTGGATAACTGCGCTGCTCCAACTCTTCCACTCTCCGTGTGAGCCCACCCATGGGGCCAAGGGGCAGGCGCTTCGAAGGCACCATGTTGGGCAGCCTCTTCATGATGTCCCCACTCCCCACCCATCGATGTGCGCGCAAGAAACATCTTTTGAACATGTTCCAGAATACTGTAACCTTCGAATGCCACTTGCATTCAGACAGCAAACATTTTGTAGCAAACATTGACGAACACATTTGCTGACTTTGACCCTGCAACTACTACGCTGGCGGTCATCGCTACCGCTAACGCGAGTTCCGCTTTGAATCAAGACCCTGAAGTCATTTCTTGCAGAGGTTCGGGTCAATGCACATTTTGTTTCAGCCGCGATTTCTGCATGCAGCAGGAAGGCGAGTGGCAAGGCGACCTGTGTTTTGTTCAACTTGCTGATCCTCAGTCAGCAGTCTAAGTCTTCAGCGAAGCAGGAAGGGCTCGAAGCGCTGGGAGAAATTTGTTACGAGACTGACCTGGAAGGATCTGAGAAGTATTTGTATTTTGTTGGCCATGTGTTTGCCTTTGGCATGTATTGCAGAATTATGCAAAAGTTTTTGGTTTCAGACAGATCAGATACGCACTATACGGTAGAAAGATTTTCAAAGCCGCAAAGTGACGCAAACACTGGAGGAAGGAAGGGTGGGTGGAGAAGTAGACAGACAAGGAAGAAAGATTCTTTCTTGACGAGAGATGGGACGGACATGGAGGTTTGAAAAGCACAAAGGTCGCAAAGAACAAGGAACAAACACGAACAGGAAACCAAACATTGAGCATGTGGGAAAGAAATTGGGATTCAGAGGACAGCGAACCCAGACAAATAGAGATGAGCGGGCGTGGAGAGCAGGATTGATCACATATTATTTTCGGGAATTGGTTTGTGGCTTGCCGCGGATGTGTTTGTGCGGTCAAGGCCCCATTCAGAAAAAGCATGGGTTTGTTTTGCTGATGATAGGCTTTCTAGAAAAATCTACGACACCTTACTTGACTTTTTTGCCTAGGCTTGGCATGAAACATGGAGACAGATCATGGGAAGAGGCCTGCGCAAACATTTTTGACACTTTGTGAACATACACTAACCACTGTTTTGCAAAGAACATTCAGTTTGCAGAATAGATTCTATTTTGGAGGAGAAAGCAATGTTGAGCAGCAGACTCAGAGTTGCTTGTAAGCCCCCACAAACGAGGAGTGTTGTTTGACTCAAAGGAGGAGTGTTGGACCCACATTCATGTTCCAGTTGAACATGCTGTATTTCTTCAGTTTCAGTATTCAAATTCCTTCAATCAGACACGCTCGAGGTCTGGCAGTCCAGCACGTCAACAAGCTCAAACCGCGCTTTTTGCTCGTAAGTGGCGACTTAACCAATGTGCCTTGGGAGAACATAATTGTGATTTTCATCAGCGGAACTTATGTGCGAGTCGATGTGAAGACTTTAGTAATTGAAATCCATTTGAGTTGTGTTTCTAAGGAAGCGTTAGGTTGGAGGCCATCGCTAGTAGGTTGGAGGCCATTGCTCTTATATTATATAGGTTGGATTGCTTCTAAAATTGGGGTCAAGTCTACACCAAGGCATGGCCTGTGGGGCCGCAGGCAGACCCTGCAAGTGCTGCTAAGCAGGTGGTGGCTGTCAAGGAGGTCAGCTCCATGCCGTTCGCACGCAAATGTTTTCCTGGTATTGTATTTTTTTGTGGTTCCTTGTCAGGTTCTGCGCGAAGTGGACAGTTCTATCCCAATTGTTTTCGCCCAAAGCTAAATGGTGTGAACGAGATGAGATAACCTCTTGCGCTTGGCGCTGCCACAACCTAGGTTCCAGGCAATCACGATATTGGGCAGGCCGCATGCAGTTGAGTGCATGAAAACTCTCGATGAAGCAGCTATAGCTTGCTTGTTTGATGGCTTTGGCTTGTTTCTTTTGTTCTTTGGTATTGTGCCCAGAGACTACAATCAAGCGGCAAAGTGAACCACATCTCTTTAAGACGAGCTTGCAGTAAGACATCTCAACAAGTGTTTGGTGCCAGCGCGAATGAGGGCGTGTGCCACATTTTTTTTCCATGCTTTTCAGTGCTCAGGTTCCAACCCCGAATGAGCTAGACTTATATCGCTCGAGATGGGGTCCATACCCCAATACCGAATCTGAAAGGCAAATGGCACTGATTTATATGGATGAGAAGATATGATAACATCAAGAGGCAACATCATATTTGCAGCAGATGGACTGTAAGTCTTTTCTCGCCAAGGTGACGACTACTTCTCATTTTGGGTCTCCAGCCTTTCTACAGTACAATGGGCATTTTCTTCCTTTGCTTTCAAGTGGAATGCCAGGTCGGTGGCGTCTACTTTATGGTTGTGAATTCTCAGTATCGCTGTCATGTTTGGCATTCTTGCCTATCCAAAAGAGAAGGTTTGTCCCAAGCCCAGAGAGCCTAGCCTTGACTCGTCGCCCTGTGTCGCGTGTAACGTCGTAATGCTTGGGAATTGAGAAGATTGACAACAAGTCTAGTCCTGCTGCCTGAACATCTACAGAAGATTTGGACAGAATGCCATCCGAGACACAACTTATCCAATTTGCAACCAGGCAGCAAGCCATTTGAACTTCAACGGCTTGCGAGGGAGTGTGCAGTTTGTTCAACGTGGTGAGGTGTTGGTGTGAGCGTTTCTTTGGAGGGTTCAGGGTAGCCTTGTGACGCCTTTTGCCATCGCTTCGATTCGATGGCAAGTGTAACATACTGTTTGCATTTTTCTTCAGTATCCTGTGCGATTCTGGCTAATGTTTGGCTGCCTGTGTTGTCCTTGAAACGTCTTCAGTAAGTATGTGAATGTCAGGACATCCTTTTGACCTTACTATGGGGGGGTAGGTATTGGAGTTGCGGTCTGGAGCGTGTTTGAGAAACTCTTTACCATGTTTGCAACGGCAGGTTCTATATGGATTCGTCGAAAACAGAGATGCAGCGAAAAGACCAGGCTTGCAACATGTCGGAACAAAGTGTCACTGATATTTGCAGGGATCATTAAACATCCAAAGTGTTCCACAATGTTCCACAGGACGCATGGATTGAAGCTCAGTTTGAAGCTCTTAAGAAAAGGCGTGGGAAAGTCGGAAAGACTTGTGGTGTTTTGATGTGCTCTCAGACTGCTCGGTGTTCGAGGCAGCCAAAGCACGCAGTAGTTCTGAGCCACGTTCCTCCATTCATCGCAGAACCGAAGGAACCGCCTGAGCCTTCAGTTTGTGTGTGGAGGGAATGCGTATTGAGAAATCAACGTTATGAGTCTGAGGCAAGGCTGGGCAAATTGGGAAGTTGAACCGAGAGAGCGCATCGTGAAGCTGGCGAAAGATGCTGGTGTAAGGCCGTGGTCAAAGCTGCGTGAATGCTGTTGCGCTCCATTCGCAAGCGTTCTACCAGGCTTTGGCTGTGCGGTCATTATCATGGCAATGCTATTGCGGTGGACGATGACCTTGAGGTCAAGCTAGCACTGTGCTTCGTTCATTACGAATGGCCTTGAATTAGACATGTAGCTGCTGATGCAATCCTCATTTCCATGGACTCACCGCGACAAGGTCGTAACTTGTGCTGGTGTTGGCACCAACATCAATTGGACTGCAAATCCGGGCGCTGCGAACTGAGTGTCCGTGATGTCCCACTGCAGCGGGAAGTAGGTTGTTTTTCTCAATATAGCGAGAGTTGAAGGGGTTCTTGCTTCAAGTATAGGAAGAGACGCAGTGCCGCCGCCAGATGTGTGGCCGTGTGCGCTTTGGAGCCTGAGCGCTGGTGCGGCTGCAGGGTGTGCTGCCAGATGTGGATGGCCTCGTGTGCTTTGGAGCCTGGTGCTTGTCAGGGTGCTGTCCACAAATATCTTAATCTTGTGTTATTTGGAGTCTATGTTGGCGTAATTTTTAGCAAACGCCTTGGCGTTTCTTTGGGAGGTCCCACAGGCTGAGGTCATGCTGCGCTCGTCGATCCGCTGATCAAGTGTGGAATTCCTTTTCGGCCGTTCGGTGTGGCTGGGATGGCACGATGCCAGGTCGGCGATCAACGGTGATCAAAGTGGCTTCATTGATGTTGGTCCATAGCTGCCGGAGAAAGCAGGCGGCTTGCGCGGGGAGCTTTGGGCAAAGAGGGCGCTGCGCCTGGCGTCTGGCGTGTTGAAGCCCAAAGCAAAGTGCATGGACGACTCGGGCTTCCCGCACGACCTTCTTGAGAAGCAAGAAGGCCTACAGGTACAGGTGCACTGTTGGCCATGCCCTCTCTGTCTCCATCGATGTGTGGTTGCGTTGAAGCAGTCTCCGAACTTGGACTTTGTGATCTGTTTGGTGTGCGGGAGGACGGTGAACGTACATGATGATGAAGGAGAGGCTGCGTGTTGCAGAACTTTCAACGGGGCATGAAAAGTCATTATGAGGGGTGGGCCTGCAACGGCCCAACTCCTGATTGGCCCCCCATGCGCATGGAGAAGCTGGGAGCATCAAAAGAAAGTGAGTCAGGAATGATGCCAAAAAGGAGGGAGGGAGGATGTAAAGCGGACAGACAAGCTCCAAGCCCTTTCTTCTCCTAGTTGCGCTCAATCGTGTTTGTTTTGAGAATGTCCAGAAGTGATACGCTGGGCCCACAAAACAGCGGCGCAAGAACCGTTCTTGTTTGCGTTCGTGGGTCATGGAGGCGAGACAAATCTATCCAGCGACGGTCTGAATGTTGGACTAGAGGAAACGGGGGCCAAGTCTGGTTTGGCTGGGCGCAGAAACTGCTTTCGGAGCGGAGAGGCGCAGCGCCAACGTGCAGCGCGCGCGATGTGGGAATTGATTCGCCGAGCCGGGCCGTAGGCCGCGGTCGTGTAGGGACGGTCTGCTCGTCCAAAGCGGAGCGGCCGAGGATGTCAAGCTTGACAGCTTGACAGCCTGCGTGGGCAGCGGGTGGGGTGTCATGTGTGGCGCTTGAGCTCCAAGGTGGTGGCCACTTCCATAAGGCCTGATTTTGAGAGGCTGGTAGCCAAGTGAATGAACACACTGGCCCATCACTATTCCCGTTTTTTTTGGAGTATTGTTTTTTGAGTCTGAGGTGTGTGGGAGATCCTCCCTTCTTTGCCGATGCGCAGCATTCGGGTCTGCGAATTGTTCGTTTTGACGAAGAAGGGCACAGGCACCAAACTCAGCGCCTGACGCCAAAGGAGCTAGAACAGACAACTTTTATGCTCCCTCTTTTTCAGGTGTATATGAAGACATATATAGATATACATATGTAGAAATCATCTTTTCTCTGTGAAGCCCCCATCCCAGTCGTAGCTTTTCCTGTGCTTTTACCTCATCGCGCGAACTCTTTTCATCGCAAGTAGTTTGCCACGTGTGACCTCTTCTTGTCCTCCACTTTTCCGCGTGTTGTCTTCTTGTTGGCCGCGTTATTAGCCGGTCTCCAGTCCTTGTCCTCTTGTTGTCCTTTTTAATGTTCCATCCTCTTGTTGTCCTTTTTAATGTTCCAGCTCTTGGCCTGTGACAGCGTGCGCGCGCGAAGCGTCGTCCAAAGGGTCCAACGCGAGAAAACAAATGCGCTCGCGCAAGCCTTGTGTGGTGCCTACTAGTGGGAAAGGGCCAGCCGGCAAGCGCGAAGATCCAGTAGCGTGCGTGCAAACGCGCGCCACAAAACAGTGAGGCAGTAGTGCGGCAACTCCAGAAGGCAACCTCAGAAGCCGATGTCCTCTCCTTGGCCTCCTGTTGTCCTCTTGCCGGTCTCTCATAGTAACCTCCTCTTCTCCTTTTGTCGCAATCTTTTCGGCCCGGTCCTCCGCCAGCCTATCTCCGCTCGCGCTCCTGCCGTCGTCGTCTTGTCTTTCTCTTGCCCTCGTGTTGTTTTCCTTCCGTTGCCCTGTGTTGTCCTCCTCATGTCCGTCTTTCTGTTGTCCTGCTGCTGTTGTGCTGTTTACGTTGCTTCCCGAGCCAGCTGGGGCTGCGGCCGCCCGCAACAACAATTTTTGCAAAAAAATTGTCAGGAGCCTAGGCTGGTATAGTTACGATGTTTTGTTTCCACTTCTCTGTTGACAGCGCGCTCGTTGTGCAGCTTTTTCGCTCCCTTTAAGGACAAAGACAGAAAGACAAAACACCTACAATAACAAAAGCCAGAATGCCCAACAACCGGAACACACGCACAAATTCAACAAACAAACGCATCTCTCCGTTTTCCGGGAATTTTTCCCAGCTGGCGTTTCTTTGGCGAACGAAGTGAGTGCTAGGGGTGTCGAGGAGTCCAGGAGGAGGGGGGAATGAATTCAAAAAGCCAAAATTTCATGGTAGGTATGGATTTGCTTTTGGTTTCTGTGGCTTCTGTGGTTTTTTGGTTTTGTCAGATTTGAGCGTGACAAGGATGACGCACACACAAGACGTGAAGTGAACCAACCGCTGTACGAGTGGCCCGAGGATGTAAAAGAGCGTGACTCTTGACTTTGTCACGGTAGCGGAGCCCCTACCCAAGGCGATGAAGCTGCCAATCCTCCTGCTTGTAGCCATGGTGGCGTGGCGTGTCCTCAGCCGAGCTCCTTGGACCAAAAGACGATCGCCGTGGGCTTTGAGGATCTCAAATTCGTCATCAAGGGTGACGTGGATGGTGCGCCATGGATGTTGAGGCTGGATGGGGGGATCCTGGCGTGGAACAGGGCGACGTGGATGGATGGTGCTAGACGAGAAGAGCAGGAGCATTGGCGTGGAAGGTGGAGTGGACATGGCTCTAAACACGGTCCCAATGAGCAAAGTTCACGGCAACCTTGAACGTGAACCAAGAAGTCACGACGAAGGAGAGGTTGAAGGTGATGGCAGTGAGCTACTTGTTGAACCACAATGAGAAGCAGATCTTCACCGCTGCCAAGATTATGTGCTTAGCATTCTTTGCGGAGGTCTTTGACCAGTGTGCTGGCGACCAGGCCATGATTCAGGACATCGTGAGCCCGGATATGTGCTTGGCATTCATGAACAAGCGCTATGACTTACGATGGAGTGGAATCGATCCTGGCAGCTCAGAACAGGATCTTGGCCTTCGTGGACTTCGCAACGCACAAGTTCATGTTGGAACGTCTTGATGAAGGCGGCGTCAGTTCTTGCGTGGGCAATGATTCAGGTCTTGGGGAATGTGGCTTTGTTGATGCTGGCCATCGGAATGAGCCACTTGAGCCTGACCTCAACGTCATCGAAAAGAACAGTGAGGAAGAGGCAGCGTTTGAAATGTTTTGAGATGAAACAACAGGTGAGGATCATCTTGCTGCTGAGTTGCGTTAGCTCAGCCTTCGAGGCAAGGGCCGGTCTCCAAGCAGCTTCGAAGATCCAGCGGAGAAGACCCTAATGCAGTTCACTTCATGGAAACTCAGCTTCGTTAGTTGGCTGAGTTTTGGTGAACCCAGGCAAGAACAAGGGCAAGCAAGGAAAAGGCTAAAGTACGCGGCAAACTAAGCCATGGTTTTGGGCCTAGGTCGAAAGCATGCCCGCAGAAGGTGGGCCAGGCGCAAGAGCAAGCTTCAGTTTGATCATCCCCTTCACGGTCTATGCCTTCCTCAGGTCAATTGACTACAACTCTGACGGCAACTACACCAGTGAGGAGAATCTTTCAGATCGGCGCATCTTCCTCAAGTGGGTGTGTCGCAATAATGAGTGAATGCGGTTATCTCGGACTCAGGGTCTGATGCTTCTCTTCTACCCTTGCCATTTGGAGAGCATGTGGGCGAAGGAGGTGAACGCCTACGCCTACAAGATTGCCAAGGTGGACGGCTTGCAGTTCACGGCGCGAGGAAAGCATCGTTGATGGTGACGGACCGTGATGGAACAGAAGCAGAGTTGGAGTACAAGCTCGTGATTGGGGGAGTGAAAACATGTATCCTCAGTCTTGGTGAGCTCTGCAGAAATCCGCAACGCTGGCAGCGATATGAGATGTATCTGGAGAGCCTTGACTGTACACTTCAGGTTCCCGTGATGTATGAGTGCCTGTTCAAACTGGAGTTCTACGAGTTGAAGCAGTTGATGAGGACAATCCATACATGATTCGTGCAGTTGTGAAAGCGCGTGAGAAGTACGAGAATGATAGATGCTTGGTGTTTGGGACATCCTGGACGACAAGGCTTTCGCGAAGACGCTTGGCACGATTTGTCGGTCCGAGACCAGCAGTCGTCGAGAGGGTGCTGGAAGGATATGTTGATTTCGAACAACCATTTTCCAGAACCCCTGACATCGACAGCTATGGGCAAGGTGAACAGTGCTTGATCTTGACGGTCATGTCAGACAAAGATTGGAGCTTGGAAGTTTTTCGGCGACCCTCTTGACAGTGGAGGTGAAGTCATTGAGAATGTCTACGAGCCTGGTGAGCCAGGGTGCAGGCATCCGAGATCATGTAGTTGCGCCAGAATTGATCGCCGGGTTTTGGTGAAGATGAACGGTTGGAAATAGGTGACTTGGTCCTGACAGAGCGCAGTTCTGTCAAAGGTTTGCGAACAGCTGCAACATTCCTGAAGGTGAGTTGTTCGGGAAGCAAGAAAAGAATGTTTCAACGTTTGACGGAGACATGCCTTAAAGCTTAGAGAAGGAGATCAGTTGAAGTGGCGCGTGAACAGTTTCTACAGGCATTGCCTTCGCCACGTGTTCGTGATGCACCAAAGCAACCAACAGCTCGAGAAAGCGCGCCGCAGGAGGTGTGCAAGGCATGGCGCCCTCATTGCGCAGCAGGCAAGCGCAACGAGAGTGGACAAGGAGACTGTCTACTCTTGATGGTTGGTTGATGCGCGACGCATGGACCAAATGGGTGCAAGTTGAGCCATTGAAGAATCGAAACCAGGGTGTGCCCGGTCAGCTTGGCTACTTTGAGAAAGTCGAGTTGGCGTTTGACAGTGAGCCAGTGCTACAGGCAGCAGCTCGTATGGCCCAGACCATCAGGAAGAATAGTGGCATGGAAACTGTGCTGGAACCCGGCAAATACCATGACAAGGGATGCGGCTGAGAGAATGGTGCAAACAGTGAGAGGCCAACAGAAGACTCTCATTGCAGCTTTGGAGGACCAATTGGGTTGCAAAGTCCCTGACGAACATTTGCTACATAGTTGGGGTTTGCTTCATGGCTCATGGCTTTTGAACCGCTTTCATATCAGCAGCACCGCTGGAGTGACAGCTTTCCAAAGTCTTCCAGGACAACCTCACACGGGATCGAGAAGAAGTACAGATCTCAGTCGGGAAAAGGATGTTGGATTGGGAAGGATGCCACTGACCATGACCTTGTGGTGGTGGACAGCAACGAAATCATTAGAAGCAAGGCAGTGAGAGCAGATGTGGGGAATGCAGATTTTCTGATTCCTATGTGCGTTGGCCCATGGGATTTGAGAAAGAGTGTGCGCAAACAAGTCAAAATGGCAGAGCAACCGCCCACACCCATCCCTATGCTACATCCAGGTGTTCGAGGTGGAGCCGACAAGATAGACGACAAGCAAGAGGAGACGGCGTATGACCAAGAAGAGAACCAGCGCATCGTCGAGACGATGAAGCAGCAGAGGTGATACAGTATGCTCAAGAGAATCCACATTCGATGATGAAGCTGATGTTCCAGCAGGAAAATTCTTTGAGAGGCGGGGCGTCATCTGACCTTGCCTCATGGAACTTCCACTACCTCCCGGACTTCATCTTCAGCAACCACATGTGGAGGGTGAGAGAAGCGCGGCGAGTACGCGTGGCATTGCAAGAGAGGAAGAACCAGCAAAAATTCGCGCGATTTGCAGAGCCCAGTCAGTCAAAAGAGATGACAGGAGCAGTCCTGGCTTTGTGAGAAAGGCGATGCCTTGAGTTCTATCATGAAGATGAGAGTCTGGACTATGCGTTTCAAGTCGACGAGGGCGAGTTCACCGCAGAGGAACGGACTACGTGGACAGACCAAACAAATGAAGACGAAATGAGACTCCTGGATTCATCGGTGAAGGTGCAGGGACACCAGAATTGACATCAGAAGAGTTGGACGCCTTGGACCAGATCGCCCTACTATAGAAGAGTTGGAGACGCTGACTCTCAGCGACCCGAGATCCGAAACTGGAGGAGGGTACTTCAGAACAGCATTGTTCTAGGACACTCGAATTGTGAAAGATTGGCGGTTTCGAGGTGATCCTGGCAGGTGGGTGGGACGATCGCGAAT